GAAAGACTGGAGGCAGAAACAGAGGGAAGACAAAATAAGCCATTGAAATCAAAAAGGAAATGCATGAGTGAGATTTCTATCAGGACACACGGTAGGGGGTGACGGGGTGGGAGGGGGAGAAAAAACACAAAAGAGCAAACATGCGCAGGGTGGTAAAGACACACAACACAAAAGTCCTTTGGAGGGTAAAACAGGGGGAGGGAGTGGGCAAAAAAGATGCTTGAAAGGAGCTGAAAAGCAGGAGCCACGGGGGAAGGGGGGGACTCTGTTAGAATCCCTCCTCCTTGCCCCACCCTGTCCCTGCGGAATTGTTAGCTCTTCCTCCTCCTCTTTCCAAGCCTCCAAGTGCCCCAATTCTAGTGTTTCAGGAAGGAAAGCAGCATGTTGGGAATTTGAGACAAGAATTCCTAAAGAAGATGCAGAGGGGGAAATTCAAACCTTCTGTGGCTCTTAAGAACCTACCACACATCTATTCCCCCAGGCCTCCAGCCTAGTGTGGCTCAGTGGGTTGAGCATCTTCCTATGGACTGAGAGGTCCCAGTTCCATTCCCGGTCTGGGCACATGCCTGGGTTGCAGGCTTGATCCCCAGGAGGGGGCGTGCAGGAGGCAACCGGTTGATGTTTCTCTCTCATATCGATTTCTCTCTCTCTCTTCCTTCCTGTCTCTCTAAAAAAAATCAATAAAAACATTTTTTTTTAAAGCCCTTAGGAGAGAAATATATCGCTGAGTGTGGTGGCTGGCAGCATATTTTCTCAGGACTCCAGTTCAGGGGTGTCCTCTTGGTGGTGGACCCCAGGGCTCACCATAAAGATCCAATGAAGAGGGCAGAGCAGAGCGGAGGGAACGGATCAGTAAGCGAACAGGCCATGCACAATTTCCATCATGCACCCTACAAACAAAGGGCCCCCGGATTTCTCAGAAGCCTTGTCATCAAAGGCATCTTTATGGTCAGGTCTTTGAACATTTCTTAGGAATTTTATCCCAGGAAGCCACAGGAAAGACTGGAACCAAATCAAAAACAAAAACTTCAAGAGATAGTCAGCCTTCGAGACGAGGAGTGTTCTCTTGATCTTTAGCACAGTGTAACATTTTTTCTTTTGTATTTATTTATGTGGATTCAAAGGGCTCAGACCTATATCTTAAAAATCTGATACTAATTTATAGACACAATGCCATCATCTGAAATGCATTCCCAAATTGGAGTCTCGTGGAGGCATCTTGGAAAAGGTGCTTTTCCTTGTCTGACCAGGCGAGTTCCAGAGTCACCATCATGATTCAATCAGGAGAGACTCTCTCTCTGAGCAGAGATCGCATTCAGGAGGTGACATCAGAGTAGAGAAAGGGCCATGTTCTCCATACACTTACCCCTGACTTCAAGAGCAGCGTAATTTAAAGAGGTTTCTGTAACTTAAAAGAGATGAGTCGGTCTGCAAAGCTGATTTTCAATCTCCACACGCACAGGTTAATATCAATCGTATAACGCTAAAGATATTAAAACAAATAACAACAAAAACAGATGAGCTGAAGTGCTTAGCCCTTAAGGAACCTGGTGAATTAGGCTGATTATGTCCAAAGATGTTACACCCACATTGCTGACTACACAGAAACGAGAGCTCTGTTAAGCATGAAATTGACAGTACCTATCAGCTTGATAAATTCTAATTTCAATAAAAATCAACTGCGAGTTAGTTTCCATTATTTGATGGTCATGCTGAAAGTTGAAAAATCGCCATTCATCAAAAAGGCAGTGATCCTTGGACTGTGGAGCAAAATCTTTTATTTTCAAACAGAAGAAATGGATTTTGCTTCACCATCTCCCCCATGTTTCTCTCAGGCCAATCAGAGGTCCTGGTGAGGACGGAGGGTGCATGGGGTCACCTGTCACTATGGGAACTGCATGTCTGTGGATAAAGCTGGGGTGAGTCCAGGGATCTGAAGTTTTTCCTCATGAACATAAATATGAAACCAACTGGTCTACAAAATCTAACAAAAAGAACTGGAACAATAGGGATCCTCCCCCGAGGAATGAATAAATTCCTTGGTGTCCTTCAGGTCCGACAGAGGAGCTGTAGCCTGTGATGCTAACGACACTGGGAATGGAAGAGAAACGGGTTTAGTGTTGGACTGTCAGGGTTTGGTCAAAGCACGAAGAGATGTGCCATCTGGATTTCATGCCAGGCACAGTATGTGTTCCCATGTGCCTGGGGCTCAGGAACTGCAAGCCCCGTGAGGGTGGCCACAGTGGAAAAAGACGCAGCGGAGGAAGTGAAAAATCTCGGGTATCAGAGAAATATCATCTCATGCCTCGTCACACATGCCCTGGGAAGACTCAACTGGGGAGAGGGTTTTTGTTTTCGTTTTTAGTGTATGTCTCACACATGGCACGGGACGTACTTACGCCAAAAGGGGGGGAAACTCGTTGAAGAACTTGCAAAGTTGAAGAACTGTTGTTGCTGAGCAACCTTAGGAACCAGAGCCAAGAGAAGTACTAAAGCGGAGCTCCAGGGCATTTCGGGTAGATCAGTAGTTCAGGACACTGAGAAGGTAGGTCATTGTCTCAAGGAGAAGAAGATGGAGAGTCAGGGAGGGTGGTAGATTAACTTGGCCACAGATCATTTGCACCTCCTTCCATGAAGCCATGGGGTTATTTCCCCTTCCCTTGAGTTGGGACCAGCTCTGTGACTTGTGTTAGCTAACAGAATGCTGCAGAGATGATGCAGACCTTTCTAGCCTTTGCTCTCCCCTCCTGGAACCCTAAGACCATCATGCTATGAAGAAGCCTGGGATGGAAAACCAGGTACCGAGAGAAGCTCAGGTGTCCCAGCCATTCCAGCCACCCCAGCCGAGAGCCCCAGATATGTGACTGAATCCCTCTTCTATACAGACCCAGTGAAAACCACAGCTCATGAGACCAAGGAGACAGCACCAGGTAACTGATACAGAGAAGAACCTGGAAGTAGGGGAAATGCTACTTCCTCGGGAGACGTAAAGAGGGAGAGAGGGTTCCTAACCTGTATTATCACTCAAACAGGTATCAGCGGCTCCCCTAACTCCAGACAGGGGATGTGGGTATGAACAAGCACTAAGTCTCATTGGGTAAAGGCAAACTAGGAGAAAGGATTGAGAATGATGAAGACGACAGCAGCTACAAGTTGCTTTAACCTGAGAGAAAGGCCGATAAAGTGATACTGTGTATCTAACACTCGCCTGAACTTTGTGCGGTAGAAATCCCGAGATCATTTCTATTAAGGGATGACACCACAGGAGTTCTCTTTGTGATTTTACGCTTTGTCTTTGGGGCTGAGTTCCAACTTAGCTCTGCTTCTCACATCTACGTTGTTGTTTATTGTTACTGTTGTTTTATTTTGTTTTTGTGGAGGAGGCAAGAAGAAATGATGCCCCCATTGCTTTTGCAAGTCTTGCCCAAAGAGGAATGTTCCAGTTACAGGTGAGAATGACCAGGGGGTAGCAGACGGAATGATGCCGACCTCAGACACAGCACCGCGAATACAGTCTACCTCCCAGGCTTCCCAGGGCAGACAGGCTTGGGATTGCCTAGCCAAGCCTACCGAGGGAAAGAAATCCCCTCATGACCATCACCCCACTTGAACACCCTTTCCTTTATCTCAATCACTCTTCCCACCTTAATTCAGGCCACAGGTTCAAGCAAACTCTTCCTGGTGAGAAGGTACTAGAACAAAGCAGGTAAGTCTAATGTGACTGACAGTCTAATGCCTACCTTACAAGGCCCCTTGTAAAGATTCAGTGATGTGTTTAGTAGAAGCATCTGGCATAGACTATGTGCTTGATCATGGTAACCATGTTTTCTAATTGTGGCTTTGCAATATGACCTAAACCATCTATACAACTCTGTTTTAAATTTAATTATACCTATGACGATTGTTTTTTTCTTTAGTTTGAAACTGCTTGAAAAAAGTGACTGTGTTTTATTTGTGTGTGTGTGTGTGCTGGTCTATAGCATGCAGTTCCTAATTAGGCACTCCACAAATACTTGTTGAATCATCAGTTGAATGGGTAAATGCAATAAGACATTTGCTGAGCTGAATACAAAGAAGAGTAAGAGCGGATGTGCGTGTCTACTATTAGGCTTCCTATTTACAGCCTGGATTTGGATGCAAAGAGGGTTGGCCACAGGCAAATCCAGGGCTCACAGGACGTCTTCCAGGATCTCTGTCAGACTAGAGATGCTCCCACCCTTCCTCCTGTGAAAACAGCCAAGCCAGCCAGGTCCCCCTGCCCCCTTAATTCCTGTTCTTTATCCTAGAAACACTATACACACAGGAAGCTGTAGGGAAAGGTCAAGGTGTGGTAGTCATCACATGTATTTATGCTTCTGAAGGGCCTTGAGGGGCAGATGCTAAAAATGACAAGCTGCTTCCAGCAAATAATAGAACGCCGGATCAGCAAGCCAGGTAGGAAGCCGCTCATAAGGTAAGCATGCTTTAGAGGACACAGATGACCAGACACTTCCGAAGGGAATAAAGTGTGACTTGAGTTGCAAAGTTGCAAGCAGCAAAAAACAACAACAACAACAATAACAAAAAACCAACAACAACAAGAAACTAAATAAACTAGAAAGACAGAAAAAATACTCTCATTAGTCCTGAGAATGATCAGCTACAATTATGGATTAGATACCTCGGCCCAACCAATTAACTTTCCAAAATATAAAAGCTGTTACCCAAGCAATAAAGTATATTACCCAGGCCACAATGGTTCCTGTCTTTTATTTGTTTAGTTAATCAGCCCCAAATACCCTACAAAGATCTCGATATGACAATGAAGGGACCTATTGATTGATTGGCTAAGAGTACCCATATCAGTGAGTGATCTACAGTCCTGCTGCCCCGATAAACAGGGTCTCAGCCCAAAGTGGGGGAGTATTTCCACCCGTTTGAAGATGGCCTGGGTGCAAGTCGACTTAGCTCATTCGATCTGTTTCACGGGGAAGGGGTCCTGGTTCACTGAGCCTACTCACCGTGGTCAAGGATATATTTCACAATCTCCCCGTTGCCGGTTGTAGCTGCGTGATGAAGGAGCGAACAGTGGTCAGGTCCCTGAATTAGCAGACTGCCTCCATTTTTATAGCTTTCTATCAGCTGAAAAAGAGACACATGAAAAGAGGCTCAGACAGAGTCCGGAACAAGGGAAACAGCTCACCGGTGATAAAACAAGAACAATGCAGCAAACCACAAATGTTTCCAGCCTCCGAGGACACAGCAACATCAGAGAGATGATGTAACCCTCCTCGGTGGAGTCATAACTCAGATGGATGGCCAGAGCTCAGTAACTCCGGAGAGGGCATGTGGGTGTCGAACATCCTAAGGAAACTGAAATATACTGAATTCTTTCTTTCTTTGTCTTTTTTGCCTTTTTCTGTCATTTTCTTTTCTGGGCACTGGTCCCCATTCCAAGGGAGTGGAGGGTGGAGAAGAGAATAAAAGCTTTTCTATGTTGGCCCAGCTTTTTTTTGAGTGGAAGAAGAATTAAAGCTGTAGGCAGGGTGAGCTTGCTGTCTGGTAGGTAACTCTTTTTCTGTTCTTTAGTTTTTCTTACAGCTCTGATGAACCTAGCAACCAAATATAGAAGCTCCTTCCCATTTTCTGGTGTGAGATCACTGCACGCACACACAGTATGCACACACACACAGCACTTACACACATGCAGCACACACACACATACAGCACACGCACAGCTCAGGCACACACATATGCACAGTTCATGCACATACACGCGCGCGCGCACACACACACACACACACACACACGTTTAGCTCCCTTCTTTACCCAGGTCTGCAGCCCAGACTGCATTCATTCCGTTAATCACGCAACAGCTACTCAACAAGGCTAGGGATGATCCACGGCATGAGAAACAGACAGATTCAGAGAACGCAGTAGTAGAAACCTAAACTGCCTCAAATATGAGAACAGGCTAGAAAAAAAAATTTTTTTTGAAGAATAAACTAACATTCTGCAGCCTGAGAATAAGCTAGCTAATGAGGACATGGTCTAAGTTCATGAAATATTAAACATTACAGAAACCATAAATGAGTCCCTGGTTCTCCAAACTGCAGTGTATCAGGACAAGAAAAGCCTTTTGGAGCTTCTAAAAGGTAGTTTTAGGACAAATAAGACTCAAATAACCCAGCAGGTAATAAGCAAAAGGGATGTGTCTACTACCAAGAAGTTGGATGGCACAACACTATTTAAAAAATCAACATCTCATAAGGTCCAAGAGCGTACACTCGTAGTTCATGCTTCCACTCAAATATGATCATAGCTCTGCCATGTGTCAGATGCCAGGGAAATAAAGAAGAAGACAACTCAGCCCCTGGCCTCAACGACCTCAGAGTCCATGGGGGAGACAGATGTGGAAAGAATTACACCAGAATGGAGGGGACATGATGAGGCCATCACCGGACCCTAGGCAAGCATGCAGTAGGGGATGGAAAAAGAGTCATGAAAAACTTCCTAGGAGAGAGATTAGAAAAAGAGTAGTTGAATGGAAATAAGGAGCATACGGGGACTTCCATCCCCAAACTGGGGCAGTAAGAAGAGGGAGCTAATAGTGTCCCACCCAAATCTAAGAGAATCTTGTTCTGTCTCATTGCCTTGTCTTAGCGTGACAGTCTCTTTCTTTGGGGAAGATCCACGAGGGATTTGGGCTCAACAGAGTGGCACAGACCCAACCCGTCAGCTTGATTCTGCCTTTCTGCGGTGTTTTTGGACAATACACGTTAAGTTGGTCTGTGGGCATCGCATGCAGCCTGGCTGCACCGGAGCTGCCCATGGGGAGGGTTCCTGGGGAGGGTTCCTGGGGTCCTCTGTCCTCTGCTGACCGGTGCATGCTCCCTCTCACTACCAGGTTCATATTCAATATTCAGTGTGCTTTCTACGTGGAGTAGAAAGATTAAGGAAAATGGAGACGAATCAAGAAAAGGGGAAGAAAAATACGAGGAAAGAAAAAAAGACAGAAAAGGGAAAGTCAAATAGCCCTAAGCCCCTATTTTCATCTCCCAGTAAATAAGGTGTTCTTGCATTATTTTCTTAGCCCTTTAGGAAATAATTGCAACAGAGAATGTAACAAGACAACTGACTGAACACAGTGATGTCCTAGATCTCAAATCATTCTCTGGTAAGTACAAAAAAAAAATTGTGGTGATATACCCAAGAACCTGGAAAATACATTGCCTAGACGAAAAGTATGTCCACAACAAAACGAAAAGGTTTCAAATGTACGGTTTGCAAAATGTTCTGGCTTAGGAGCCCCACAAGGGCAGGGATCAGATCTGACTCGTGTGTTTATCTCCCAGAATCGAAGAGAAAGCCACGCAGGGAGAATAGGATGGTATCGGTTTAATCTCTTGCTGCAACATGGCATTGAGCTCACGGGGCACCGCTTAGGGAGCTCCCTTCTCTCGAGGGGACCGATGCCTAGCAGCACTGTGACCTGGACGGTGCGCGCCACAGGCTCCCTTTCCAGGATCGTGTGTCTAAAGATGACTGTTGATCAAGATGCTGGCAACCATCTCGCCATTCGCTTTCTGCCTGGGACCTGTTACAATGCAGCAGGGTTTCCTCAGTTTGTTCAACAGTTGTGCCTCCGAAGAATTGTATTCAAGGGCAGTGCTCCCCAGCTTTCTATTAAGGCTTTCGGTTTCTGGATCTGCAATGGCACCATCCTCCACAGGTTGGGGAGGGGGGCATGGCCTGTGCCCCGGCGGGGAGGGGGCTGCCCATCTTACAGAGCTGTCCAAGGCCAGTGTGGGCTTTATAGAGACGGATGGGTAGTCAGAAGTCCCAGAGCTTGGAATGGACATGGGACCAAATACAGCTTATAGAATGCTCATAGACTCTATTAGTCTTTATAACTAGTATTTGCAACTCCAGTATGTGTATCTCTTAAGAAACACAGACCAATATTATATTAATAAAATAGCCAACACATTAGGGTCCCTTCTATGTAATAGGAACAGTCAAGAGCTTTACAGGTAGCATTCCATTCGATCCTCACACAGTGAAGAGAGAAGCAGTATTATTATCCCATTTGATAGATGAAGAAACTGAGGCACAGAGAGAATTAAATCATTATACAAAGCCACACACACAGGGAAGGACAGAGCTGAGATCTGAACCCAGTGACTTCAGAATTTGAATTCGCTCCAGAGGTAGGGGTGCCCACTTTCTTCCCTCTAAGCTAAAACTCCCCAGAAAACATAAGCACAGATGACAGCATTCAAGGTGGATCAAGCAGAGTGTCTTCTTTTGCTTTACTGTGCTCTCCAGAATACACAACTGTAATAGTGTTGGGAGACATGGGGACTGGCCTGAAGGATGTAGTTCTGGTTGCTGTCCAGGTGATTCTTACACACGCATTCATTTCAAGACCCGTCTAGGAAGAAATCTTTCAACCTCCAGTATCAGCTTCCAGAGAACAGGAATCCGAGGCACTGTGAGCTCTGTACCCTGGGGACGTGTGGCCCATTGTAACTAGTCAAGGCCAATGGCAGGGTTAGCTTGCAGAAACCTTTGCTGTTTGGAAACATGGAGTTTCTGTGAGGATTCCTCTTGTCCTCTTTGCTCAGTTCTCAAAATAACACCCTTTCCCTGCCTACCCCTCCAGCACAGGCAGGGGCCTTGGTGAGTGACAGATGGGATCATGAAAATTTGGTGCAAAATGATGTTGACGTAAAGGTCTTAAAGAATCACCAAAGATTTTGGTAGGAAGATATCTTACCTTCATAAGGTCACCAGCTATTACTGCCTGCAAAATTGCTGCGAAAGACAAAAGAGAGATGTCTCATTAGTAGAAGACCCTCTCATTAAAATATTAAAAAGGGCTGGACCCGTATTCTGCAGACATCGTCTACATCTGAGGCAGGGACCGGGGAGGAGAATCATGCCAAAGGTCAAATCTTGGAACAGACTAAGCAAGGTCTTCTCTTGAGCCTTTCCCTACCTGGGCCCTCCTCCTCTGAATCCCCAGGTGCCTACCCGAGCCCTCTCTAGCCCTGGGACAGCAAAGAGAGTGTGAAACTTGAAGTCGCACAGATTGGGTTCAAATCTTAACTCTGACACTTCAAGCTGTGGGACACCGAGTGAATCATTTCACCCCTCTGAGCCTCAGTTTCCATATCTGTAAAACAGCAAGTCTTCCACTGATACAGGGTAGGTGCTTCATCGTGATTGGTTGTGTTCTCCTCTTCCCAGGTCCCTTCCACTTTGTCCTCTTGGGGCTCAACAAACCACCAGTAACTGAGCCGATGTGCTTTGTAATGATAAATAAATACCTACTGCTATGGACATGAAGAAGACCAGAAACAGCGAAGAGGAAACACATACATTTTAATTATGTGTTGAAGAAAATCCTCATGTGTTTTAGCAGCTAATTCAATGGTGACTTTTATGGAAAGAACTCTGAAAGTCTCAGGTAACCTAAAGCAATTGTAAGAATACATAGCCTTCGGGGGAGGGGGAGGACAGAAGTGCATGTCCTGTGGGGGATACAAGAAGAATGAGAAAATATGACTGATGAAAGGGGAAAAGAATATACCTGGGTCTAATGACATTATGGTCCCTAACAGGATCACACGCATCAGGTTGGAAATGGTTGCTTTTGAAAAATAAATGTGTAAAACTACACCAAAGATAGATTATTTTAGGCTTTCATTTGGAAGAGCAAAATTTATTTTTCAAAGTGTCATTTGATGGTTCTTGTTTGAGTAGTCTCTCACATAGAGTTAACCAAAAAGTCAGTCCCCTGTCTCAAAGTACCTGGCGCCTTTGTTTCTGAGCAACACCCTCCACGTTTTTATATGGAACATGGATGAGCCCTGGGGGACCAGCTGCAACACCCATGGGCATGTCAGACTCCTGCACTGGCCCAGGCGGATCAAACCAGAAGCCTTGAGAACCTACGGAGATCATGAGGGCTGCTTGGCCGAAGGGAGATGGATGAAGAAAGAATAGAGAAGAAAGGAGAAGAGGAACGAGAAGGAAGAATGTTTCCTTCCCAGGACAAGCTGTCAGCAAGTTCTTGTCATCTGCCTCAGGCACCTGTTACATGCTCTGTACGTTGTCAAGGCACAACAGTTAGTTGTTGGGCTGACTGAAAAGATCGGAGAGAAAGAAAGGAGAAGAGGAGAGAGAGAGAAAAATAACGGCAAGGGAGTTCATAAAACACTATGTCAAAAGAACTTAAGAAAACGTGTCTTGTTCTTCATATAATGGATGGACACTGGGGGTCAGAGTAAAGTGACTCAGGGCACAGAGCTAGTGGTGGCCCAGCCATCACCACCACGCAGGTCCCTGTGTTCAGTCCAGGCCTCCGTCTAGTGCCCTTGGTGAGCTCACCTCGCAGATCGGTACTGAGGTGTACAGCAAGTGGAAGAACATCGTCTTTACAGGTGACAACCTGACAGTTTGGTAAAGGCACTGGATTGGCAGCTTAATTCGAATCGATGAAATTTACTACACACATCAATTGAAGAAGTCATACGATTTTCTTGGACCAATGTTCTTATTCGTAAAGTAAGGCTAACAGAAAGAGAAGATGGCAGCGGGCAGGACCGGAGGGTGAGTGTGTGAGAGAGTGAGCGAGTGTGTGAGAGAGTGAGCGAGTGTGTGAGAGAGTGTGAGTGGATGTGTAGGTGAACGACCAAACTCGTGCAGTGCAGAGCTGTGGAGCAGAAGGTTCCTGTGCTGTGGACGGAGCAGCCGCTACCGGAAAGTGGTGTTTCAGGGCGCTTCTCCTTGCGCCGCGGGGAAGTCCCACCATTTTGGAAGATCCTGGGTCTTCCTGGCAAGAGGCAGTGGGAATGGCTAGGGCCCAGCAACCTGAGCCACCAGCGCACCTGGCACCATCGGACCAATGGACACCCTGTGTCAACACAGACCAATGCACAGTAGTGGAGCTGTCAAGGTGCCTGTTGCGAAAACTGCGAATGGCCAGGAGCCCAGAATCATTCCCCACAGTAGCAGCCCAATCAGAGTCGAGATATACTACCAGCAACAGAGGCTGGGGAGCAGACATCCATTCCCAGGCAACAGAAGCACAAAGCAGCAGCAGAGAACCATCCCCAAAAACTACAGCAAAGACTGAGCAGGAGCTGAGCCCACTGGGCAGCAGCACTCCCCCCCCACCAGCGGTGGGACCTGGGGCTCCATAGGGGTTTGTGCAACACAGTTGCCCACAAGAGCAGTGGGGAGCTGGAGCTCCATAGGGGCCTGTGTGAACCAGCTGCCCACAAGTGTAGTGGGGAGCCAGGGCTCCAGATGGACCAGTGTGACCCAGTGGCCCACAAGAGTGGTGGGGAGCTGGGGTTTGAGAAGGGCCAGTGTGATCCAGCTCCCCATGGACCCACAGGGAGCCGGGGCCCCAGTCCTGTGTGACCCAGCTGCCCACAAGATAGACGTGGAGCCAGGTCTCCAGAGGGGACTGTGTGATCTAGCTCCCCACAGGATCAGCGGGAAGCAGGGGCTCCAACGGGGCCTGTACAACTCAGCTGCCCACAAGATTGGCAGGGAGCCAGGCTCCAGTAAGGCCTGTGCAACACAGCTGCCCAAGGGTCTGGCAGGGAGCTGGGGCTGAAGAGGGGCCTGTGCGACCCAGCTGCCCAATGTGTGAGCAGGGAGTGCAGCTCCAGCAGGGCCTGAGCAATACAGCTACAGGTGGCACCAGCGACCAGCAGGGAACATGGCTTCAGAGGGGCCCAAACAATCCAGCAGCAGCACCTACCAGGACACACCAATATCATCCCCCAGTAGTCAATCCTTCAGGATTCACAGCAGGCAAGAGGCAACATGCACCAGAACAGTCTGGGAGGCACAGTAGCCTTATTTGATATACAGTGAGTTGCCTACACACCCAAACATCCCTCATCAGGTCTAGAGCTACCAGATGGCTAAAATGGGAAAACACAGAAACAACACCCAAAGGAAAGAAAAAGAGGAATCACTAGAAAAAGAACTACAGGAAATGGAAGAAAGCAATTTGTCAGATAAAGAATCCAAAGCAATGATTTAAAGAGGGGCTCAAACAATTTGGTGATAATTATATGCAACTTAATAAGAATTATGAACTACTTCAGCTTTAAAAAAAAGAGGTAGAAGCTACACATAAAATGTAGAAGCATAAAAATCAAGAGGAAATAAAAAATGACATAGTTGTTATGAAAAATACCTTAGAAGGGTTAAAAGTAGATTAGAAGAAGCTGAAGACCGAATCAGCGCCTTAGAAGACAAGGTAGAGAAAAATACCCAAATAGAGCAGCAAATGGAAAAAAGTTTAAAAATCAAGAGGAGAGTTTAAGGGAGCTGTGTAACAATACAAAACGTAACAACATTCGCATTATATGGGTACTGGAAGGAGAAGAATCAGAGAAAGGAATAGAGAACCCGTTTGAAGAAATAATGACAGAAAACTTCCCTAAACTGGTAAAGGAAAAAGTCACACAAGTCCAGGAAACACAGAGAGCCCCAAGCAAGATGAACCCCAGAAGACCCACAGCTAGACACATCATAATAAAAATGGCAAATATTAAAGACAAAGAAAGAATCTTAAAGGGAGCAAGAGAGAGACACAAAGTTACCCACAAGGGAGCTCCCATTAGACTGTCAGCTGATTTCTCAATAGAAACGCCACAGGCCAGAAGGGAGTGGCATGAAGTGTACATAGTAATGCAAGGCAAGGGTCTGAATCCAAGACAACTCTATCCAGCAAGGCTATCATTCAAAATTGAAGGAGAAATAATGAGCTTCAAGGATAAAAAAAAAAAAAAAAAGCTAAAGGAATTTACTGCCACCAAACCAGCACTGCAAGAAATGCTGAAGAAACTGTTGTAAGAAGAAGAAGAAGAAATGGCGGGGAGGTGGGGAGGACACAGGCATAAAATTAAAATGGCAACTAATAACTATCAATAATTACCTTAAATGTAAATGGCTTAAATGCTCCAATCAAAAGACATAGGGTAGCTGATTGGATAAGAAAACATGACCCATATACATGTTGTCTACAAGAGACCCACCTCACAATAAAAAACTCACACAGAATGAAAGTGAAGGAATAGAAAAAATTTTCCAAGCAAATAAAAATGAAAAAAAAAGCTGGTGTAGCAATACTCATATCTGACAAGATAGACTTCAAAACGAGGGCCATAATAAGAGACAGAGAAGGTCACTACATAATATTAAAAGGATTGATCCAACAAGAGGATATAACCCTGGTAAACATAAACACACCGAATACGGGAGCACAAAAATATATTTAAAAACTTCTGGAGGACTTCAAGTGAGAGACCAATAGCAATACGATCATAGTGGGTGACTTTAACATGCCGCTGACACCACTGGATAGATCTTCTAGACAAAAAATTAACAAGGACACAGAGTCTTTACAAGATGAACTAGATCAGTTGGACTTCACTGATATTTACAGAACTTTTCACTCCAAAGCTGCAGAATATACATCCTTATCAAGTTAAGGAATATACATCCTTAACTCAAAATGGATTAAATACTTGAAAGTAAGACCTGAAACCATAAAGGTCCTAGAATAAATCATAGGCACATGGAGGGACCTGGAGAGTATTGTGCTAAGAGAAACAAGCCAGGCAGAGAAAGACAAATATCACAGATCTCACTTATTTGTGGAATATAATGAACAAAACAAACTGATGAACAAAATAGACCCCGAGACATAGAGGTAGGGTACAGACTGACAAACCTCAGAAGGTGGGGTGTTGGGGGGGAGAGAGATAATCTACAGAAGTTACATG